ATTTCTTTAAAATTGGCTGGAGCCTCTACTTGTATACGTTGAAATGGCTTCATAAATTTTCTTTTGTATCATCTTCCAAATTTTTAACTAATTCAGAGTCATCACTGATAACTTGACTTGCCAACAGGATCTCCCATGAGAGACTTGATTTGGAGACACTTTTTAAACCTTTATATAACCTGCTGGTAACTTTAGATTTGCTTCTCTAAAATAGTATTAAGAAACAAAGAAACGGTTTAAAAGCTCAACATATTACATAATTTGGTAAGTATAAATAATTTCATGAATATTATATGTATCTTAAGTTTAGATTTCAATTCTTATATATTTTTTTATATTTTTTGTAATTTCTTCCTTACTAATAGAACTGTATTTCTTCGTTATTTTTATTTTACGAACACTATGTACGCCTTTAAAAGCAATATTAAACTGGTGGCTTATAGATCCATTTTTCCACATATAGATCTTCGGAATCACAAGACTAAAGCCAGAGCACACCCATGCATTGATTTCAGTACTAACAAGCATCGAGTGCCTGAGTCACCTCGTGATATTTGGAGTTGAATCCAGAATAACATGTTGGATAAGCTTTTCACACACTAAAGCCTTTGTAAATCCAAAAAATCTAATATCAGAAACACGCTATTCATCATATAACTAATACTAGACCAAAATTTTATTTTTATAACTAACCTGTTGGGAAATTATACTAAGCTTATTTCTTAACAGAAAAAAATTGAAAGAGTGATCGTTTACTATTGAATCTATAGCTGTATTAAATACATTTCTTAGGACTTTTCGCTTGAATCATGGATCATTCATAACGTAGTAAATGATAGAAAAAGCAGTGATGTTTTCTGTTGGAGTAATGTAAGAATTTTTTCTGCCAAATTGCTAGGCATAATTGTACAAGTATGCGATAAAAAAAATTTTTAAAAATTGCGAATAGAAATCACAAATAGTCATAACTTTGAGTTACTTGGTTCTTTCTCTGAAAATGTATACACTATTATATCGATGTCAAAGTGTTGAGAAATTTTTAAATAATTATAAGTATCATGAGTTATCTGTCTGGATTTTCTGTAGCACAGATCATCTACTATGTGGGATCTCTGCTAGGAAGATGACCCTTTTTGTTAACTCTTAGTTATCCAATTTGATTTATTTTGTATATTCCAGTTCAGAAATATACCAAATTAGGAAATCCAGTTCTAGAATAATCGGAGTGAAGATCTGTGAATTTTATTGGCTCCTCAAGCTTTTTTTTTATGCTTAAACTCAACGTGGGTTTCATGACATTTTTATATATTCATTGCTGCCAAACGATATGCGAAATGATAGTATAAAGTGTCTATTTCTATAATTTCAAATAATCCTGTATAATAGCCCGGTTTAAAAAAGGTAAATAAGACTAAAGTTAAAGCTTTACCTTAAATACCTTTTTAAATTAAAAGTAGTAGTTTGTAGCACTTTAACCGATTTTTTTTATAGTGTCTGCTTACTGGAAACCAAGAACGAAAGGTCTGTTATATATGTCTGCAAACTTAGTTTAACAATGTCGTGCTGTTAATTTAAATCTAGTGAGTATTGCAATTATTGAATTACTAAATTATTAATCGAAGTATTTAAACTATTTAGGTTCTGGTGCGTGAATATTTATTAAGCAAAAAATATTTAAAATAAGGTTTATGGTGAATGGCTTTGCTTATTTATTTACTTTTAATTATATTAAGTGATTGGTGAGCATTTATTAACCGATGTATTTTAAATAAGCTAATAGGCCTATGAAAACTTAATAGCATATGAATATTTATTAATCAAAATACTTAGAATAAGAATGTTATGCATATCATGCATCTCGTTCAATAGGCCAGAGGTGGTCGAAAATTGAATAACTAATCACAGAATATGCAAATGAAAACAAATATGCAAATGAAGGATATCATTTTTATAATAAAAGTATATATAGGTGTGAAGGCTATTTTTTTTATTTTTTTTATTAATCGCAATACATCTATTTAAAACTAATACTATTAACTTTTATTTTATCTACTGAGGAATATTTATTAATCTACATAGTAATCAATGTATTTGAAATAGCTATTAGGATTATTAATATTCACTTTATTTTATTAATCATATTAATCTGGGTAAGCGAATATTTATTAACCGAAGTAATGTTAATCAAAAAAATTAATAGTACAGTATATAAAAATTTAATTTTAAAAATTAGATTAGACTTAAATTATTTTATTAAAAATAAATACATAAATATATTTGTTGAATAAATTAAAATAATTTATATCATTGTTGCTTATTTTCTTGATAGTTAATAAACTAATAATAAATTATTCAAAATCGAAAAACCTTTATTAGCAAAATATCAAAATATACATATTTATTCCCTGGTTCTTATTTATACTTTTATACTATTTCTTTTCGATTATTGCCCAGATTTCAGATTCGGGCTGATCCAGAATTTTCATAATTCTTTTTGATTATATATTTTTTTTTAATGATATACAAATTTTTTAAACTATTAGTAAAAGTTGCTGGCTAAAAAAAAAAAAAGAAAGAGAAAAAACAAAAGATGTTTTGTG